CATTCCTTAATTTACCTTCAAATTTGGCAATGAATTGAATAGAAGTTCTTTAATTTGTCTTTATGATAAGCGAATTAAGAAGAACCGAGAAAATTACAAGTTTTCCAGATCCGAAAAACAAAGAGCTGAAGTCAGAACGATGTATTCTCCTGCAATTAATCAGCTCGGTGGATGAATATGCTTATGATTTGCTTGCGGGCGGTTTTTTCTTCGAAACTAAGGTATGCTTTAAAATTTGCGAAGGTAATAAGCAACGATGAAATGAGCTTTCAAATTTATATTATACACAGGAACAGATAGCGTACGACTGTCTAATGTTTTGCTGTAGCTTTTTAAATTACTGTGAAAATATGAAAAAAGTGGTTAAGTATCGAACATTATACAGGCTCTTCTAATTCTTTGAGCTGTGTGGAAGCCTGTGGCAGCTTTTTATCTCTTACAGGTACCATCTCTTCTTTTCCGTTATGCCACAAAAGAAAATTATCCGTTTACGGCACGCTTATTTGCGGATACACGTTTCGGCACTCATCGATCGCGTCCTGATCACCAGACGCTACGACGAATTCAACATGCTGCAGCATTTTTGGCTATCACCAACAACAATATCTACAATTCTGCTTCGGGTATATTCTAAAGTTCTCCTTGTGGTCTTAAATAAGTGGTATTTAGCAACATAAATAACTTTCAGAAACCTTTCAATTTAAGATGCAAATTTCAAATAACAAATCGTTTTGGTAGCGCAGTTTTTCAAGAAATTTTTTTTAATTTTTAGAAAGTTTTCATTTATTTTAACTTCCAAATCTCAGCTCGACTGAGTGCTTGTCGATGTTTTCAACAGCGAAATGAACCGATTTCTGAAACTTGTCATTGTTATCTTTCCAGCATCGCTTTCTCACATCGACAACACGACATCCGAAAATCCGGAAAATCATAACGTTAGTTCAAATTCGGTTCAGAAGTTTGTTTGTATCATTCGCATAGAGTAAAAAGAAATGTGTCTTACCAAAGTTATTATTTTAGATTTTTTCTGATTAATTGAAAAGTGAGTGAAATCCGTAATACTTTTAGTTGGAGCCAAATAATCCGGACATCTCTCAGCTTCAATACAATGTCAGCCGCATGTCACTTGCCGATGACGCCGCACCGAAATCATCAACGCTCGCCCCTTATCACAGCAATATGTACTGAGTTTTTAGAAGAGCTTTAATGATTACAGAACAGATATGTAAGAATGCTGAGGTATGGGTTTTTCAATTCCTTTCATTTCCGAAATAAATTTTCACACGAAGGGAGATTATATGATTTTTTCTGCATTCTGTTATCGATGTTTAATGAATTTTATTATTGCTAATTTCACTTTCATCAATCATTTAATAACTATCAATTTTTCTGTTTTTTGTGTGGTTTGGTGTTTACTTATTGACAGTAAAGAGATCGCGTGACGAATCATTCCAACAATTTTTTTTGTTCTGCTTCTTACATAATCAACAATTTCGTTCATTGCTCTTTCAATACTTTTGTAAGGAATTGTAGTTTTAAAGATTACAATAAGAGAAAACTGATTTAACGTCGAGAATGTGGGAAAACCACATATTAATCCTATGCAGAAACAATCAGTAAACCATTAATGTGTCATCATTTTTTCCAAGACGTTGACCCGAACGGAAGCATCACCAGGAGATAGGAGCATTTGGGTTATATTCAATAACTAAATGACTATCGCCTGCTTTTTCTGATAATTTTTTGTTTTCAAATTACCGGATTTAAAACCAAAAACGAAAAATTGATGAAATATTTGTTGAAATCAATTTTCGGTGTGTTGAATCAGTTGAATTCTGAACTTAGAATGTAATTTATAAAGGAAGATATAAGGCAAAAAAAAAACCAGACTCTTCCTTGGTAGAGGCTTGTACAGATTAACAACTGATTATTTTCTATGTGTCAGAGAAGTTAATTTAGTGCAAAATCAACTAAATCAAATTGCAGCACCGAAACTTTAATGACACATAGCGTTAATGGATGTGATTTGATCGGAATATCAACATTGCATTCATTTTGAATTTGTGCCTTCCGTTAATATGAGAGAAGACACCCACTGATGTGCAAAAAACTGTTTGCATGCTAAATTCCATGCAAGACAGTTGCAGACATGTTTTAAATAAACAATTTGAACATTTTAAAATGATCAATTATCGAAAGCATCTTCCAGCGTATAATTCCAAAGATGGCTACTTTAAATGTCAATTTCAATTTCTTTATTACTCTGTTATGATTAGTGATGTCCAATCCGGGAAGTATGGAAATATTGACTTGCAGTGTAATGAGAATGATAATTTCATTTCAAATTCTCTTATTTCAAATGCCTCCCTTCTGTTCACTCTGAACGCAGCAATATAGCTGAACGGATCAGAAACCAATGTTTCTACTATGAACAGGATTATCAGCATCATACTGTTATTATATCAACAATGGTATAATAGTAGAATTTATTGTATAAAATTCATTGCATATATTTTATGCTCCAATTTGTATGTCATCTGCATATATTGCAATTTTCATAATTAATTTACTACGGACTTTATTACTTTTATAACAAAATAAACTTTATTGTTCCTTCATAAAAAGCTTTATGAGTTTTATATCTTTTTTTAATAGCCAATTTAATGCAACGAAATCAATGAAATTGGTTCATTTATGCTATGCTACTAGCAATGCACAGAATTACCCTCCATTAAATCAATTATAAAGGACTTTCAAAAAACTTCCTACTCAAAAGGGTTTTAACGCATTAACAATCTTAATTGTCTCATTTTTCTCGTCTCTGCTCTATCTGGTTCGAAATTTTTCCAAGTTCAATTCTTTCAACTTAAATTTCGAATATTTTGAAGACAGTTTAAATCAGAAGAAAAAAATTAGCGTCCACTAACTTTCTGCATATTTCCAAATGTTCACAGATCATCTTTTTTTTACACAGTAATTCAAATGGAAAAATGGCACCACAAGGAGAAATATTTTAAAAAGCATTAAATTGTCTTTATAAAAAAAAGTAACTTGACGACGTAAAAACACGAGTTTTTACGAGAAATTTATAAAAAGTAAACTTGGTGATGTAGAAATACGAAGTTATCGTTGCTGCTTATTTTAGATAAAAAAATATTTGATTTTAAAGGCATCTTTTTTAATCACTATCTTTACTCAGATTTTACTTTTAACAGACTTATTTTTATTTATATTATTTTGGATTCTTGTAACAATCAATAATATTTACAATGTTATACTGGTTTATCATTTTATTGCTATTAATGTTTAAATTAATAATTATAATTATGATTGTTTTATCATACTCATAAATTCATCGAATGAAATTCGTCCATCATTATTTGTATCAGTTAATTGAAACTTTGCTTCGACCAATTCCCGATCTGTTAGTTTGATCGTTTCTTCCAGGATTTTCAATACTTGATCTGTAAAATAAGACTCCATGAAAACCCCAATTTATTTCAAAGAATGAATAATAAGCGATAGCTTAAACTATTACTGAAAATAGACTGCTAATATTTAGTGTAATTAATTGATAGGAATTGGGATAATAGTTAATTATTTAGGTATGAAAATATTTCAATCGTTCCTTTGATATTATTATTGAATGTAGTATCATTTTAAATACATTAGGGACATTTAATAAGAACTATTTGCTTGTAGCTTAAAGTATTAATCTTAACGTAACAGTCGGGATGACACACGTAAGTATAAAAATATTGAAGGAAGTTTTCATGATAGAAGAATTAGTGCATATTATAAAAAAGCAATGGTTCATTTCAGAAATGAATAAATTCTTCTCTCTTGCATTTCAAAGAATGAATAGAAAGGAAGTGTAATGATAAATTCTTAAGATTTCTCTCTTCTCTCGGGAATGTAAATACTGCAGAGAGAAAAGAGTACTCCTGAATCTCTACTTAAAGAATGCTACAGATATTTTTTTTTTTTGGAATATTAACTATTGAAAGCTTTTTAGAAAGCTTTTAAATCTTCAAAAATAAAAAAGGAACCAGAATAAGAAACTTTTTTTCCTTTCCCTATTTTTTGATTTTCAAATATTTTTATCGGATTATAAAAGAAAAAGAATTAAATGAGCAGAAATTTAAGATGAAAAATTATCAGAAGAGGATAATAATGATAATCTGAGTGATTTTAGTACTGATATGATATGGTGTTTGATAGTAGGAAACAATGAAAAAATGGAAAAAATCTTTTTTTTCTACATTTCTCTCTCTCAAATAGCATCATAAAGTTGAAGATGACAAAAAGCAAATAAGCAAAATTTTATTCGTCCCATATTATCGAGCAATTTTTGCTTTCCTCATGGGAAATCTAAGCTTAAGTCTAAATCCACTTCAATTTACTTCATTCTTTCTTGCTTAAAAGTTATGCATTGTGACTTTCGCTTCTTCTTCTTCCATTTCTCTCATTTTATTCCATAAAATCTTTCATCGGAGAAAAAGAAAAATGTCATGTTTGTCTAATAAAATTTTGCAAAAAATTCAAGAATCGAATTTTATTCAATTTAATTTGTGCAAATTTAAAAAATGCAAAGAATTTTTATATGGAAAAAAATGAAAGATGGAAAATCAGTAAAAAAAAAGAACAAATTAAAATGACACCAATTGTTATAGCACCATCGCCATCACTGTCATACAATCGGAAATATCGTTCCAATTCGGTAATACTTGTTCGATGTTCCGGTGGTGTACTCATGTAGCGTATGAAATCTTCCTTGCTAATTGAACCTGTTTCTATAAATTTAAATTAAAATTAATTACATCAATTTAATTAGTGATTAATTGAAAAAAGAAAAGAATAAAGTATCGTTTATCATTTTTTCAAAATTTTATCTGCATTTCGTGCATTTCGAAAATTTATTTGCATTAATCAATTCTTAACAAAAATACATCCAAATTTTATTTTATTAAATGTAAATACGTCTTCTTTTGTTTTCGTCTTAGGCTTAGGCCTAGGCCTAAACTTAGACTTGGGCTTAGGCTTAGGCTTAGATATTATATTTATGTGTAAGTTGCGTTTATTAAAACAAAAATTTATGACGATAATTTAAAAATAAATAAATATAATAAAAGAATAAAATAAATGTTACAAAATTTATCAAATTTCATTAACAAGTAAATATCTATCAAAATTCTTTATGTTATACAAAACATATTGAATGCTATTTTAAATTATTAAATGTAATTCGTTATACTGTCAACTTATGCGTGTAAGTGCTATAATAATCAATAAATTTAATTTAGCAAGAAAAAGTATGACTTTTTTTGTTTTTCGAAAATAAAAATCATTTATGCATATAATTACAATCATTTCCAAGAAATATTTATAAAAAAAGACAAATTTTGAATTTTTAATTTTGTAAAATATTTTTAAATAATCTTTCACTGCTAATATCGATAATAGTATAAAAATGTGAATACATAATTAAATAATATCTTACAGATAAATTATTTGCAAGCAAATAATGAATCGCTTTATTAATTCAATTATAAATATTGGCAAAAAATTCAATAAACAAAAATAAAATAAAAAGAATTATAAATAATGAAATGCAATTAGCACATACTGTTTGGATCCATTTCTTGGAAGATGCAATCCAATTCAATCCTTGTTGGTTCAACATTTATTATCTTCCATAGCATGGCTATTTCATTCCGACTTAAACGACCATCCTGATCGATATCTAATTGATCAAATGTTTCACATAATTCTAAATTTAATTTTTTTGCATTATTTTTTCCAAATTTCATCTTATAGCAAAATTGAAGATGCTCATATTTATAAACCTTTCAGAATAGAAAAACTTCATTCAAAAAGATTAACTGTTGAAAAAATCAGATTAATTATTCAATTTCAAAATTAGTTTTTGAAAAAAAAATGATTTTTCTAAATTTCAATTAATTTATAGCATATGGTTAATTTTCACATATAAAGAATATTTCAAATATGAATTTCCTACATAATTTTTAAAGCAATAATATTTTTAGAATTTTTAGAGAAAAAATGCGATGGAATTTTTTTTTGAACTTTTTCTAAGAAACTTTAAACATTCGTAACATTTTCAAACTAGCAAATCATTTTTCACTGCAAAATCAGCGAAATTTTCAGGAAATCCCAAAATATTTAGCTAGAAAAACTTGCTGTTAAAATGTTTTTGTAAAATACACAACATTATCATCCAAAATATTTCCTCCGCTTCTCATTTCATTTTCATTTTCCTCGTGTATCAGTGTAGATTTTAAATCATTTTATGTTAGTTTGATTGAAAGTATCTGAGAATTTTAAGTGTAATCAAAACGGCATAATTCAAATGTAATTTTTTAAGAGTGAAATGTATACTTATGAAGGTTAAATTTCTTTAATCATTTCTATTTTACCCTTGACATTATTCAAATGTGATCAGGTATAATTCATAGCGCTATATTAAAACTTATTTTTCAATTTTGTTTCATCCGTGCTAATATCATCGTCTTTTTTCAGATTCACTTATAATGTCATTTTTTTTCTTTGGAAAATATTATTTTAACGACGCAATGAACTACTAATTTTTCCTCTGATGACAATTCAATTCATTCCCAACAACACGACAAACAGCTCCTAACGATAATTATTTATAAATGATTTCATGTATGACAAAATGCTTCGACAAAAGATCACATTAAAAATAGCGAAATGAAGGAAAAAAAAAACTATTTGAAAAAAACAAACTATTTTATCTTATTTCTTGAAATTCACGAGCATTACGAATTCATAATAAATGAGAAATATATTTTTTTTTAAATGCAAAAAAGTGAAAAAATCTTATAATTGCTTGTCATTCTAATAAAAGATTGGTAACAATTTCCATCGGGTAAGAGCATTTATTTCATTATTATTAATTTAAACATTCAATGTAAATCTTTTTTTAATTTCTAACTTTCCTTTTTCGAATTGACACAACGATAAAAAAAGCGTCGCGGTATAAATTCGAGTAAATGTCAACTTTGCTTGATTCATCCATTTATTGTATTACTTTAGCAATTAAAATATTAATTTTATAACTATAAATCGAAAATTTTTCAAATAATTTTTAATAAAAGGTAAAAAAAATTGAAAAGATAATCTTACGTTGATCAGACAAAATGTAACACATCCTTGTAGTAATTTTGAAGACGAGAGCGAATATACTGATAAGACTTGTTAATATGATACTTCAACTGACGACGGATAATTGATTGCTGTTACACATTTTCACTTGCTATTAATTAGTACCTATGAGTTATTGTTGTATCTTTGAAATATGAAAATAATAGTGTAATTGAAAAAGTAATTCGTCACGGATCATGACATAGGTGAAAAATCACTCAAGTGAGTGGAAAGTGAAAAGAGGAAACAACGATAAAAGCTGAAATGTGAATGTGAAAAAAGAGAGAAATTGATTGCTTGCTTGGAATAATAGAATTTAAAATCCAAAAGAAGAGTTTTCTAATTCTTTTTTCAAATATTTAAAATGGAAAAAATTAATAAGTAATAGAAAGATAAAAGAAAGAGGAAAAAAGATAGAAAGAAAGAGATTGACGGTAAAACGTAACGGAGATGAATGCGTTGAAATATTATTGAATAAAAAAAAAGTGCAACTCGATCCTCTCCACACAACATATTTTCGCTTTCTTTTTTGCTAACGATGATTTGTGATAGTGTATAAAATACTAAAGTATTTCTCATTATTCTTTCAAAATAAAATTAAACATTTATCCTAAAATAAAGTTTCATAAAATTTCAATATTTGTCATTTTAAAAATGTTCTTATTTTAATTAAATCATAAATTGATCAAATTTAAATATATTACTTCCTTTTCTTTGTTGACATATATGCAATTTTTAAATTATAAACAGTTTGGAATAAGACTGTGAAATAGTATGATGATCGATTGTGAATGGAATTGGAACACATAGAAAAAATGAATGTTCTAAAAATATTTGTGGGTGAAACCAAAAGCAATCTGTTATGATTAGAATGACTGGCCTGATGTGTCAACCGGATATTCGAACATAATAAGAGATATTTGGATGATGAACTTTTGGAATTTATTATTGTAATGCAAGAATTCGAATACTTTTGTGAGCGATAAGGCTGAGGAAATTTGTAATTATTGCAAATACTGATATTAATAATAGCAATAATAACAATACTAATACTAATAGTAATACTAATAATAATACTAATAGTAATACTAATAATAATAC